GAAGTAGAAACTAGCTCGGACATTGTTGTACCTTCAACAACAACTACCACCGAGTTCTCAGATGAAGAATCCGAGCCACAACAGCCCAGGATGAGAAGTCTGCAGGAAATATACGACACTACAAATGAAGTTCATGTTGTATGTCTTCTCGCCGACTCTGAAGACTTGAGTTTTGAGAAAGCTGTCCAAGATGAGAAGTGGAGAACAACTATGGATGAGGAGTTTGGGGCGATTGAGCGTAATAAAACTTGGGAACTGACCAACCTTCCTGAAGGAGCTCGACCCATTGGAGTAAAATGGGTGTACAAAAAGGAGATGAATGCTGAGGGAGAGGTTGAGCATTATAAAGCTCGGCTTGTTGTGAAGGGCTATAGACAAAAGGAAGGAATTGACTATGATGAAGTTTTTGCTCCTGTCACGAGAATGGAGTCAATCTGACTTCTGATCTCGTTAGCTGCTCAGAGACAATGGCAAATTCTACAGATGGATGTGAAGTCAGCCTTTCTAAATGGAGTGCTGAAGGAGGAGGTGTATGTCGAGCAACCACTCAGGTACATGAAGAGAGGAGATGGAAAAAAGGTGTTGAGATTGAGAAAAGCCCTCTACGGGCTAAAGCAAGCTCCTCGTGCCTGGAATGAAAGAATTGATGGGTATTTCAAGAAAAACGAGTATGAACAATGTCCGTACGAGCATGCCTTGTACATAAAGAAATCAGAAAAGGATATGATGGTAGTTGCTCTCTTACTCCAATGGGTCGAGCTCCTTCAGGAAGGTTGGTCAGTTCCCAAGTTTTATTACGCTCAATCGCCCCAAACTCCTCATCCATAGCTGTTCTCCACTTCTCATCTTGGACAGCTTTCTCAAAACTCAAGTCTTTAGAGTCGGCGAGAAGACATACAACATGAACTTCATTTGTAGTGTCGTATATTTCCTGCAGACTTCTCATCCTGGGCTGTGTCAACTCAACATCGTCCACTTTCTCGTCATGTGTACTATCATCGTCAACACCAAGTACAGGTTCCAATGGCTTGATCATAGTTCCCATACAAGTTGGCAAGACAAAAGGAAATTCATTCTCAAAAAATTAACATCTCTTGACACAAATATTTATTCTCATCTAGATCATACAATTTCCAACATTTCTTGCCTAGTTCATATCCCACAAAGACACACCTTTTACTTCAGCTAGCAAATTTATCACCTTTTCTTCCTTGATCATGAGCGTAACATAAGGATCCAAACACCTTCAAGTGGTCATATAAAGGTGGCTTCCCATTAAGCACCTCATAAGGAGACTTTCCACCTAACAATGGCGTAGGGGTTCTATTTATCAGATAACTAGTAGTTAAAACACACTCACGCTAGAAAGAAATTGGCAAGTTACCTTGAAATCTTAATGCTCGTGAAACATTAAGAATATGCCTATGTTTTTGTTTAACTCGACAATTTTGTTGGGGCATTCTAGTGCAAGATGTCTGAAATACAATCCCACGTTCAAGAAATTTCATTTGCAAACATGTGAATTCTATTCCATTATCACTCCGAATTATCTTAATTCACTTATCATATTGTCTCTCTACCAAAGCAATAAAATGCAACAAAACATGTGAAACTTCGTTCTTATCAATTAACAAATAAATCCAAATAGCTCGAGAAAAATTGTCTACTATAGTTGAAAAATAATAAGCACCACAAGAAGATGGAGTTCTATAAGGTCCCCACAAATCATAATGAATTAATTCAAAACTATTAGAAGCTTTACGATTGCTCAAAGAAAAACTTTCTCTAGTTTTTTTGCCCTTTAATAAACACACAAGCTTTATTCCCTATCATATTGCTCTTATTGCTAGCATTCGAGATCATCTAAGTAATTTGCAATGAAGGATGCCCCATCCATTTGTGCCAAAGATCGAACATAGAAACTTCTATCACCTTGAAAACTTTCTCATGATGAATCCCTCTAAAATAATAGAGCCAATTTCTTTGTTCACCCACAATCAGCGTCCTCAAAGTGCGATCTTGCATAACACATAAAGAGTTAGTGAATTGGACTACATAATTTGTATCATCTATTAATTGCGACACTGATATCAAATTGCAATTCAAACTAGGCACCTATAAAATTTTGCTAATTTTCTGTCCTCTTTCAAGGATCACATCTCCTTTTTTAGTTGCAACAGCGTCCTTTCTGTTTGGCAATCCCACAGGACATCCCTGCACAATTTTTGTTCTATGCAGAAGCCCTAAATTTCCAATCATGTGATTAGAGGCTCCTGTATCAATAATCCACGTTGTTTCTTTACCTGACATTCTTTCAGTTGTGTTTCCCTTGTGATTGTTCAAGAGATCTACCAAAGTTTGCCACTGTTCATTACTCAAACCCATTAGCCCTCCTTTATTTACATTTGTTACCTTCATGGATGTCCCTCCATTGGAAGTTTGAGCAACATTGGCACGTATAGTGTGACACCCTTACTACCCCAACACATATATTGTAATAATGAAAACTTACAAATAAATTTTTCAATTTCGGTAAAAGGGTTCACATGAGAATCTTCAAAATTATTCTTCAATAACCACAATAATAAAAATGAAACGCAAGAGTTTACAAATTGTTTTCAAAAATAACATTTACAATTTCAAATCCATATAAAAACCTATGTTATAAAAATCCTCTGCCCCGATGTCACAATATCAGAGCATCCCCACAATTCAACTGTTGACATTCTAGATGCCACTCGAAGTCAGATCTTCTCACCTAAAACATCCACAATTTATACGGTGAGAAAAGAAAATACCTATATGCAAAGCACATACAAACACATCACAAATGTAATCTCATCATAACTCGTTGCTTAATAAAATATTTACAAGCATTCATAAATATATCATGATTTATCAATCATTCATCATCTTCACATCTCAATTCACAATTACATCAATCCATCACAATCCACATAAGTCTTACAATTAAAGTTTTTTTTTTTTTTTTACCATGAAACATCTCTTAATATTTACTTTAATGTAATTCTTAGTTTTCCTCTGCCTTTTTACGCAACTAAAAATTATACTATCTATTTTTTTTTTCACTAGTGCCTTCTCCAAGTGTCTCCTTAATTTGAATATGTGCAAATTAATCACCTTATTGATTTTTTTTAACATTTTTTTCTCTAATTAATCAGGGTTACGCCAATATTTTTACGTATAGGCGTATAGCATTATGCCCTTTCTTTTGTACTCGCATATCATTTTAACATTTTTATTTATGCTACTTCCTTCTTCTTTTTTTTTTCTTTTGTCCCTTTAAAGCCTACTATTTTATACAATCACAAATAATTGCTATATCTTTCTCTATTTCAATCATCTTGCTTGAATTCATTGTCTGGCATCTTTTTTTTTCTTCTTCATTTTATATTTTCGACACAAATATTTAAATATAGAGATTTGTTGTATGACATTTCCTCCTACATTTATTTCCAAATCATATATATTCTTCCCACCTTCGGCTAAAATTAAAATTAATTTTATAAACCACAATCTTTTCATAAAAGAAATTAAGTTTAGGTTAAGATACGAACTCAAACAATTTCAGAATCAATCACCAACTTTTTTATTACATTAAAAATAATAAATAAAAATGTATAAATGTAAATATAACGTTGGTGCTTAAATATTTTATTTCATAGAGTGAAGGCTCAAATATGTTATTTTATAGAGTGAATGGTTATTTGGATATGGCAAGACATGCTATATTAAGACTTATTTGTACTCTTAATAATTTGAAGTATGTTTGATTTTCGTTTTTTTTTTTAATTTTATTGTTTTTTATTTTTAAAATCAAGTAAATTTGATTTTTATCGGTTTTATTTTGTACAAAGTTATCTCTTAGATTGTGATAGTAATTATCTAAATTTTATTTATTAACCCACATATCCATCCTTCAAACATTCCTTGGCCGTGATCCACTCTATTCAATAGAAAAACTAAACATCACAACCAATTTTTTTGGTGGAACAATAATTAAGATTATAAGATATGGCAAACATCTTTGACCTAATTAGTAATAAGAAAAAATAGTTACTGGCATCGAATATGAAAAAACATATTTTATTTTTACTTCTGACAATTTTACAGAATACAGGAAAAGAATCACACATTCACATTTCACACCATCTTACATTGCGAATCAGAAACTAATTTGTTAATCAGCGTAGGAGTTATTGATCATCATGGACTCTAAAGTTCAATCTTCTAAGCCAAACAGAATGAAGGATCATATGGAACACATCGTATCTCTTGGGAGGAGAATGCACCTCGAAGTGCCTCCTAATTTGCACCACTCTCCTGTGCATTCTTATATACTGCCTCGGAGAAATACTCAAGAGAATGTCCTTCAATTTGGGAATGTCCTCCACCGAAACCTCAACGGAAAAGGACTTCCAATTCAAAACATCACTGAACGGAGGGACATAATGGTCCGAAATGAGCACTGGGACGCACCCTGTGTATATTGCCTCGACAACTCTGGGACTCGCCACCTCGTACCCACTAGGACAAAGACAGAACTTGCTCTTCCTCAGCATATCGTAGTAGGACACACCCTTCGGGAGGTACTTGTGAACCCGCATGTCTTGGTCCTTGTTTTCCCAGTGTTCAAGAAGAACGGGCCTAATTGGGCCGTGAAGCCCACCAGCAAAGAAGGCCAAAAGTGAACGTCTAGACGCAGACGGCCCACCAATGAAACCGTTTATTGAACCCGTTTGGAGATTGATTTCTGGGAAAGAGACATCCTTTGAAGGCTTGAATCCCTCAGAGGTGTTAGCATTACACAGCACACGGATCGAATTGTTTTGCAAGTTAGGAACGGAACGTGAAGTCTCTGGCCCCTGAAAAACAATTGTACAACATTATCTTATACCTTAAACCATATATTATTAATTTAATTGTTCCAACAATAAGTAAGAATGACATAATTACCCAATCATGGCATGCAATGTAGAAATGATCAGCACCAAGGCTTCGGTTCCAATAGGGATATTTTCCTGCAATGACGTTGACATAGTCCGTGACAGTTTTTTTTATGGGGCCGAAGTCATGAGAGTCACGTACGTACACAAATTGGACCAACATTGCTACACTAAAAGGTAAGAAAAACACATGTGCTTTCTCGGGATCCCTTGTTCGGAATTGCTCATTCATCTCAATAGCATGGATGAAATTTCCCTCCATTGAGTATATGCTTTTGCATGGTCCATTGTGGAAAACTGGAGGCTCCCCTTCTTCGTAGACAAATACTTTGAACTGTTTCTCCATTTCTAAGTAACTCCTATCATACCAATTACCAACAAAAAAAAAGTTAATTATAAAGTACAAGGTCCCAATTGTGAATGTTACTTTTCTAAGATTGAAAACGAGGAAGTGCATTGTGTACCTGTGAAATGCATTAGCATTGTTATACATTGGTCCAACCGGAACATAGTCTTTATCTTGTGTTTGATTTTCGTTTCTTGCTTTTCTAATTGCAGCTCGTGCTTGTAATAGACCAGCTTCGGTTCTATCTAAGATGCTGAATTTTCTTTGCAGCTTTGGCCTCTCTGGTGGAGGAACATATGACTCGTTCACGGGAGTCAAATTGGGCAAAATTAGGGAAATATTTTGTTCATCCTTGTTCTGTTAAATATAATGATGGGTCAGCATCAACTTTATTTAAAACTCACAAATGGATAAGATTTTTATTTCAACCATGTTAGAATGCTCTAACTAAACCCGATTCAATATGATACATCAGAAATTAACCAAACCTCCCTTGTCTTTTCGCTTCTCTTAAAAGGAAATTGACAACTAATTTTTTTTAAATCAAACCTTTCGTAATCATTGGTTCATGTGCAGGGCTTGAATGTATAAGCTGAACTAATTAATTCCTATCTAAAATGAAAATTATCAACAAAAAAAAAAATAATACAAGAAGATAAACACAAACAAATAATTGTAAACCTTCCAAAAGTCCAATTTACTGGAGTAAATTGTAGAAACAAAGTACAAATTGTAAACCAACTAAAATACTTGAAAAGTGAAAACTCAAAGGCAGGGGGGGTTCACATTTCTTTGCTTATTTACAAAGTTACTATTCTACAAGGAACAGAATAATCATAAATTTTAATTCTGAAATCCTTAAATCCGCAAATAACTCCTTGAATCGCCACACTCAGGCAACGATTTCAAGGCAACATCCGAGTTGATAAGGCAATTTGCATTATTTAAAAAATCCTTCCATTTCGCCGAGAAAAAGATGTCTCGTAAAGATGAAATATAAAGCAAATATATGATACTATCTCGATAATATAATAGCAGTGCGTAGACGAAAACGTAAGGTTTAGTTTAATGTTAATTTTTAATTACTCAACACAGGGAACATTCCAAATTCATCTTCATTTTACAATTTCAATCTGGGAAAACAGAAACAACAACTATAAGCAGGATGTTTTCCTTTCCTTTACTAACATAATTAAATTGAGGAATTGTCTCCCCTTATTCTATAATTTACTATAAAACATAGTGAGCTTATGTAACAGCATCTCTCTCAAAAGGAAATTAAAAAAAACAATTGATTTAAATTTTTTAGCTTTTCTGCAAAATTAAAGAGAAAAGGTCAATTAAAGTAGTCTTTAGTCGGTAACATTCTCAAAGAATTGCATGTTTGAGAATTCAGAGGGAACTCAAAAGAAACATGAATGGGTTTAGTTACATTCTTTTCTTTCTATCTGTACATTCTTTTCTTCATGAATATAACAATCATCTGACATATTTTGCATAAATAGTTCCATCAGAAAAGCTTCCATAGCACTACTAATTATTCCATTTCCACCCCTGGTTTAATTATTATTTATTGTTAAAAAATTCGTAAAATAACAAAGCTCTTACATGTTGTTGAGGTGTTGGTATGGCCTGAACAGAAAATGGAGGAGTGGAGGAGTGATTGAAGTCAGTGTCATCGGAGATAACTCTCTCGCCACCGTGAGCATCCACGGCCACCACCACCAAGCCTTCTCTCTGCATCACCTCAGACGGGGTAGTTGAAGAAGAGGAAGTAACAGAGTTGAATAAGAGAGGTGGATTTGCAAAGAAAAGCCAAGTAGCAGGGTTAGGACCAAATATAGAAATAAGGCCTGCAACGAGTACAAGTGGCACCATGAACCACAAGAGCTTCATGGATGAAGATGAGTCTTGACCCCATCTAACACCACTACCACCCATTGGAGTATTCGTTTCTGTTCTGTACCTAGCTAGCTATACACTGCGGTATTGGTAGCAGAAGAAGAGAACTCAACTCATATATGCTTTCGTTTTGTTTGTAACGAAAGAAAGAAAGAGTTTTGGTGGCAGAGGAATAGGATGGTGAAGTGTTGGTAATAAATGGGTGCCATCTCAGGCCAAGCGTCCTCATACTTTACCCTCAAAATCCGAGTTTTTGCATGCAACTTTTTGGATTTCCCTTTTTACCCTTTTCTTCTGTTATTTTACCAACAACTCACCGATACACTTATTATTATATCACCTCTTTAGTTTTCACTCATTCTTGCCTTTCTTCCATGCCAGGTGTTTTGCTCCACACGTCTCGTTTTGCTACTTCTTTTCACTTCAAACGTGTCGTTTTGGGTGCAGATGACAATGAATGAGTCATTGAATAGTATTTGTCAATGGAGGACGTACGCTATTAAATTTGTCTTTATAGTAGTATTTTACAAAGAAAGAAAAAAAATTATACGAGTAAGACTAGTAATTTTATTATTCATTATCAGGCAGACAATGACATACGAATAATTATTTTACAAGATGTCGTGTATAAGAGAATCAATTTTGCTTCGGTCAGACCAAATTATTATGATCAGATTTCTTTTAAAATATTTAACGTAGCCGTGTATTCATCGAACCATTAGCATGATATAGTGTGGAATTTAGAATAATATGTATGAGTTCATGTATTTTTAGATCTTAAGGTAACTGTATTGTATAAATAAAAATTTAATTATTATTTGAATATAGAGTGACGATCAAAGATAAAGGTTGTCCCAATGGAAATAAAATAAAATTATAGTACTACTAATTGAGAGTAAAACGCAAGAGAAATTGAATGAGGAGCAAAACGGTAATTACACAAGTCATAACTCTGATGAATGGCACCTCCCATTTATTTCACCAGCGTGAGTAGTGGTGAAGGCATGAAGTGATTTTATAAAATTTTAATGCTCTTAATTACCATTTCTGCAATAACTTCACGGTTTTACGCACACCAGGTTGCTGTCCAAGGTTTTAATCTACAGTAGAAATTAATTATAAAACTTGGGTTTATCCTATTTTTCGCAAGTATAAAAGGTTAGGCTAAAAAATAATTGTGAAAAATGAATAAAGAAATGTCCCAAAATGAATATTTTTTTCTCAACACATAAACTGAAGCACAAACACAGATCAGCAGCTTCTTGTTTTGAATGAGTGTATAGTGCGACATTATCTTGTTACAAGGGATTAAACTTTGTTATAAATGAGCTCTAGCATATTTATTTTTCTTTTCTTATTTTGATGTTGTGCAATAAAATAGCGATATGACCATATTACTAATTTACTATCTCTCTCCTCAAAATTTAAAAGACGACACAAAAATATGATCAGTAATGATATTTTAAGAAAAACTTTTAATACATGTTACATGTAAGCATACGTTGTTTTTTGCATATCGTATATAAAATGACATTTAATGAAGACTACTTTAGTCACATGATGTCGATATTGTCTTCCGAATAAGTATAACTGAGAATAGTATGGAACTTTATTGTTGACGGTAAATGAAATATCAAATCAAATAACGTCATTAATACGATCGAGAAGAATTAATTTCAGTGGTGATAAAATATTACTTAAAGCACTACACTACTACGGTACTCCCAAACATTTTTAGAAGTAATACAAGGGTGATTTCTTCACAAATAAGCACTTAGTTACTATTATTACTTTTTTTTTCTTTTTTTTTTTTACAATAGCACTTGGTAACTATTATTATATAAATAAACATGAATATAAATAAATAAGGGATCAAAAATGAACAAAATATTTTATATATAAAAATTAAACTAAATTTTGAAATAGTTGACGGGTGAAAAGGTTAGTTAATTAACCCTAAAAACTATTGTTTTATGTTTCACTTGTCTATGCAAATAGGTACAATTAGGGCGTTCAGAGAATCCAATTAGAAGAGGAAATATTAATCATTGAGAGTAAATATATAAAAGTAAAAGTCGTTCCTGTCAGGAATAATGTCAACAAAACTGGTTGGGACAAGTTTCTTTATGTTTCTATTCGATCTGAAATTTTGATAGTTTTTTTCTTTTTTTACCTCAAATTTAATTTGATTACGATATGAGAGTATACTTATTGATATAATGTATTAATCATAATATTATATATATATATATATATATATATATATAACTTCAACTCAAATATATTTTATAAAATATATTTTAAAATAAATAATATTATTATAGTTATAATATCATATTAAATAAAATATAATTTATCAAGTCAATAATTAATACATAATTATTTAAAGATATAATTTAAAAGAAAATACATGAAATTAGATTGAATTGGTATGATTCAAAATATAATTCAAACTTATTTTTAAATTATATTAGATCTAATTTTTTTCGTCAAGAATATCTTTAATTTAAGTTATATTAATGTGTGTTTAAATTTCATATATTTTAAAATCAAGTCAAGTCTCAGTATTGATAAAATTGAATTTAGATCAATGCAATTTTAGAGAACTGATGATTATGATAAAAATAATCTGAAGTAACGTTTTTTTAATAAATATTGTGTTTTTAAAAAATATTATTTAGATACTATTATAATTAACTATTATATGATATAATAATAGTATATCTTTAAGAAATAAGTTCCAATGTAAATGTGTATATTTTCTATTATAATTAACTATTATGATATATACATCAACATATAAAAAATAAATAGAGACATGTAGTAAATTTCTTTATTTCATGTTAATTATTAAAAGAGAGGTTAATTATATATCTATAGTATTCAATATACCCAAGTATTACTATGTTGAAACAAATGAGTATAGAATCACACATATGAACAAACTTTTTGTTTCAATAATGAAGTAAAGCTAGTTAGGAACCAACATGGTGATCTACCCGTCGTTCAAATTTCAATAACTTTTTAATCTATTTAAATAAAGAAACTTAAATAATTTCAAAATTATTCCTAAAAGTGAAACACCAATACACCGATGCATATATATATTGGATGCTACCATCGTAGCCTCCATTATTTTGCACAACCCTGATAATAAAATAAATAAATGGCGTAAAATTCTATCTGTATGCTATATTGGAATTAGGTGGACATGTGTGAGCATATTAATTTTATATTATACCCAAACTCTCGTTTTTGTTCCATCATCTCTATTTTCTAGTCTTTTATATATTATGATTCAGATATATACGTCATCAAACGGAAACGGGACAGCTTCTTTGTTTCATACACCGTTTTAAACATATTGGAATGTAGTTCCATGTTATGTGAGACTTGGCCCAACCAAAAATATTATTATTATTATTCCATGTTGACTGCATATTTATCGATTTATGAGCAAAAATATTTGAGTATTTCCGAGTTACCAAAATACCTCATTCGTTTCTATCTTCTCTTTTTATATATATATAAGTAAAAATCAAATTTGATACCAAGATTTTATAAATTTTTTAGTTTATATAGGAGTAATTTATATTAAAAAATATTCTTATTATATGAATCGTAAAACTCTTTCTAACACAGCTATATATATCAAGTAATTAAAGTTGTTGATTAAGTTAAAAGAATTAGACGGTAACAAATAAAGGAAGTTTTGCGTTTTGCGGTGTGGCGGCGAATGCATATATAACGCAACGGCACCGCAGGAGAGTGGACGTGAGGTCTCTTAAAACGAAGTTGGGTGCCATAAATAATATAAAGCATAGGGAAGTAATTTTCCATTTCCCCGTAACACACAGATCCGTGGCGTGGAGGTCATTCTCAACTTAATCTATCTATGCCATTTTGTATTATATTATTAAAGGTATTCCAACACAAACAAACCAAAAGAATTGGCTAGTTGCCAAATTTTAACAGCAACAAGTACATGCCCCGTTTTTATCCTACAGTATTTATTGTTAAGAAACTGTTGTCTGTTGGGTTAAGAATTAAGATCTTCTTTATCGGATCATGTGGTCAACACAATCTTTCTTGTGGAAGGCTAAATAGGGAAAATCAAACATATAGTTTGGATATTTAATTGATATTCATCTAGTTAACTGAAATAACCCATATGGTCAGTTTGTAAATAATTAACGATTACTAGCTGGTTATTCTAACATCCACTTTTTAGGAGTTAACTTCATTTTATGAATAAAACAGAAAATAAATTCGAAACCGCGTTCGTAATCAAAGATAATGCGCATCAATTCACGTCTATGTCTCAATTTCTTATGTTTCTATATTTGGGACGGAGATGTAGGTTGCATAGAATGTTGGGAGGAATTGGTTTTGTAAAAAAATTGAGTATCAGTTTTGAGAGGATAGTTAAGCTCATCAAATATAATAACATGTCTTAGAATATACTGCTTACCTTTATGGACTTGTATCCTTTATGTTTAAAGTTATAGCCTATGAAAACACAAGGTTGAAACCTCATCTATTTTATGTTTGTTGAATGGTTTGAGATGAGGATAACAAGTGCAATCAAACGATTTGAAGATAGAGTAATCAGGGAATTTGTTGAAGAGAAGTTTATATGGTGACTTGTAATTTATCGCGGGTGAAGGAAGCCTGTTGATAGTAAAAATAACAATAGTAAAGGCTGTCTGCCTCCCAGAACTGAGAAGGAAGACATGAGTTAACAAGTAAGGTCAATCCTGCTTTAGTGATGTGCATGTGCTTGCACTCAACAGAGTCTTGTTGTTGATGAGTATATGCACAGCTTAATATGTGCACAATTCTCATATCTATGAGATGCTGATAAAGTTCTTGGATATATCAAGAACATGAAATAAATTATTGAGTTTGAAATGAAAAGTACTATTCTTGGGATGTAATATAAAGTGACTAGTATGAGTAATTTTTAGGCTATTACCATCACCTATGAAAACAGAATCTTTACCAGTGTAATATGATTTAATGACAGGATTACTGAGGTCATGTGCCAGATGGTTGGTAGCACCAGTATTAGGCTACCAAGTGTCATCCACATTCTAAGGATCATTCGCAGAGGCAACCATGACTTTCATATTCTAATCATTAGTGGAGGAAGAATCAGAATTGGATGCAAGTGTTGGTTCAATAAGATTATCATCAAAACGATACCAACAATGAAAACTTGTATGTCCAATTCTTCTGCACACTTGATACTCGACTTTGTTTCCACGACCTTTTGAAGAGTTACCAGTATTTAAGCGACCACCACAACCTCTTCCACGATTTTGAGATCATCCTTGATTTCATCATTTATTATAGTTCAAAGAATTTTTGCTGAAGTGATTTTGGGCTTGTGCCACATTTGCTTGAATAAGACTAACATGACATTGTTTGCGTTTCTCTAATCGCTCTTCTTAATACATCAAAAGAGCCTCAATTTCTGATATAGTATAAGAATATGCTCTAGTGATACATGATGTGATAAATCCATCATACTCTTCAGAAAGACTATCAACGATGGCGTCAATGCGTTCTGCAACACTCAACGATGAACCAATGGAAGTTAGGGCTTCAACAATCTATTTGATTTGAACAAGATAGTCATTGATTGAACCCTATTTTTGAATCTCGCAAAGTTGGGTGTTTGATACGAGCCCGCGTATGTGAAGTGAAATAAGTTTTGAGAATATCCCAAATTTGATATCTCCATTCGCATCCAACCGCATAGACCTTGAATTTTGCCTCCATAGACTCCAAGAGCCAAGATTTTAGAAGATTATCTTGTTGCTCAAAATTCTCATACTCTGGATTCACTATTCCTTTTGCTTGATCCTCTTTGCTAAGATATTCACGAGGAATCATGGAAATACCAAGAATGTGCTTCTTGAGTTGGAAACCCTTGATTGTGGCTTTAGCATGGTGCATCCAGGTAAGATAATTGTCATTTCTTAGTTTGCAGGATATAGTAGAGGAAAAGGTTTGAGGAACGAAAATAGTGCTGGTGGCAGAAGCCATGGATGAAGGATCACAAAGCGTTTATATTGATACCATGTGAGAGAACATACAAAGAGGGAGATAAGCTTGTAATAAGAAAAAAGGTAAAAAAAGATATGGATGTATTATTGTGTTTCATATGCACACAGTTACCCAAGAGTATCCATTTTTATATAAGGGAAGAAAGTAAATATACAAAGCAAAAAATATTTTAAAAAAACCTTTTTTGATAGAAAAATAACAAATTTCTTATTATATCTATCCTTTATCCTTTTCATGGGTCTTTAATGCGAAACCAAAGGTGTGTTTGGAGTTCCTTCAAAGTTCAAACGCAAATCATGAAATAGAAGCTATCATACCGTATACTATCCACACAAAAAAGAACAAAAATTCAAATCTATTTAAGCCCAACACGCTTACTTCTCATTCTAAATCCCAGTATTCTTTACTTCTTGCTCTATATAGCCCAACATATTTTACAAGTTTGAAGCTTCGGAACCATTTGGCATTATGTTTGGTATCTTACAAAGATACACAATGAAAACTAGTTTCCATCATATCTTGCCATAAAGGGAATTGGTTTACATCAGATCAGATATACGTGGAAGAAAAAAAACTACCAAAGATAAGATTAGAAGCGCGAACACACACATAGAAAATGTAATGAAGGGCAAGAAAGCAATGCTTATAAAAGAAAAGTGAGATGTTTGAAAAAAAATGCGGTGAAAGCTGAAAGGTGCTTGGAGAGTGGGGGGAGGGGTTGTTAGGAGAGAAGTACAATAGAAATTTCAAAGAAACCAAAAAAATATTTGGGGATGAGAAGATAAAAAATAAGGGGTGAAAAAATCATGGGCCTTCCAAATTTCCAGCTCCTTTTATATTGGACATTAAACCCAAACCACCAAATTGGGGTCATTTTCCACACTTTTATCCATCAGTTTGGGCTCCAGTAGCACCTTGATGAGCTCTTTTATTAATTTTTAATATATTATATATACATGCACCTTGATGAACTTAACAACCAAGAAAAGAAGTGGGTGGACATCTAACTTTCGTGTTTGTTTAAATAATCATGGAAATAAACATGTTAAAAAATAATTAATATCTGAGTAACTTATTAGATACGATTTAACGGTTGTAAAATAAATAATATTATTATTTCGAGTATGTGAAAATTATACAATTTTTTGCAATCGTCTTTCGAGTTTTTTGTATTTAATTTCACAATCAAATTGTATTTATCAATTCCTCCGAATCAAATTAGAGCAAAACCAAGAAAACATTAACTTATTGATCACCAACTATTGGATACAATATGATGACGAAACTACTTTGTGGACATCCTAACTCTCATTTACACCTAGAGAAAGAAAGAAATAAAAAAAATAATAATAATAAGATACATGAAATGATAAGACGAGATAGATAAAAAAATATAACAAAATAATTAAGCGCAAATGTTTACAATATTAAGGTGTGTATGTATCAATATTCATATGATGAAAGGACCCGAGTATCTTCTCACTAACTACGTTAGTCAGTGCCTCTTTATAGGTTGAATTTTGTTCGATTTTCATGCAAGAACAAATTAAGCTGGTGTTACTCGAGCGTGTACATACAATAAAACAGCAGGAAGACACAACAAAGAACACTAACGTAATGAATTAGAATTAAAATAAAAAATAAAATAAAAAAGAAGTTATATGAACATTAAAATTTCATGTAGTTGGAGTAAAAATTTTCAAGAGTCGAAACCCGGACAGAATACCCAGTTGAATTGGTAAATACCGGAACTGTGTCAGATCATACACGGTGAAGGTTTTCAGTAAACTAGGAAATACATCTTTGTTCTAATGAAGGCTGTGCAGTTCTAATTCCTAATTATTTTACAGAAGCATTTGTAATGAACATCTTTCTTCCACATGATTGGTGCCACAAAATTCGGTAGTATAACATCTATAAAAAAATTCTTTCATACTACTCTTATATAACATTACTATCCTACAACTTACAAAATTATTCAGCAAACATCACTGAAATGAATGATGATGACCAGTTGGACGAAACAGCGTCTCACCAGCAGTCCTTACACGAGCACTGGCCATTGTAGAAACAATGAAATCCAGAAGAATCTCTCAGAAATATATCCCTCTTTGTGACAATAGATGCATATTTTAAGAATTCATGGCAGTCCCCACAAAGAAGGATGTTCTTTACTAACCGAACAGGCTTTCCGGGCTTGGTCATCAGTATCCCATAAGTTGCTGCAAGTTTAGCACTGTGATGGAATAGAAAAGTTTTCTTGTGATGCTCCTCTACTTCATGGAGAACAAAGCTCGTGTCAGGTTCATATCCAACCTTTAGGCACTCCATGATCAGAATCTCCAATCCTCTATATATATCTTTCTCCTGTGTGTGTGATCTATCCCTAGGATAAAATGTATGTATTTTCTTCTGAGAAATGATCCAACTTTGAACTGGGTGTTTGCGAAACCCCTTTTCTCTCATACTCTCCCTCACCATTTCAGAGCGATCCCATCTCCCAGAAGCAGAATACAAATTTGAAACGAGTATAAACGTGGAAGGATCCTTAGGTTCTAGAGAAAGAATATTCTGAGCCGCCCATTTTTCAATCATTGCATTCTTATGCAGTCTGCAACCCTCAAGCAATGAGCGCCAAATGAGAGCAGAAGGCTTGAAAGGCATCTTATTGATAGTTTCTAGTGCTTCTTGCAGAAGACCCCAGTGACCCAAAACACTGATGAAGGAAGCATAATGCTCGGATGTGGGCTCGATTTGATAAACACTTCTCATTGAATTAAATAAACTACGACAATCATCAACCAAATTCGAGTCAGTTTGCCTGTAAGCTGAAATTACCAAAACAAACGTAACTTGATCGGGCTTTATGCCCTCCTCCTGCATTTCCATCCATATTTCCAATGCTCTATCTCCCTGTCTGTGCATAAGATTGCCAGAAATCAAAGTATTCCACGTAACCACATTGGTACAAGGCATATCATTAAAAGTCCTCATTGCATCATCCACACTCCCGCACTTAAAATACATGCTAACAACTGCATTTCCGACTTCCAAATTACATCCCAAGCCACACTTCACAACATGGCAATGGATTTGCTTACCCATATCAAGATGGCCAACAGTTCCACAAAGACCAAGCATCGTAGCCGCCGTAACTTCATCCATAATCAGCTTCCCACCCGATCGACCAACGTGGAAAAGAGAAATGGCCTCCTCCGGTTGCCCGTTCCGAGCATAGCCACATATCATGCTTGTCCAAGCCACAGAGCTAAACTCCTCCAACTCCCATCTCAAAAACATCTTCTCAGCATCCACCATCCTCCCACACCTCGTGTACATGTCAAGCAACGCAACTTCAACACAAGCATTCGATCCAAACCCAAACTTCACCGCAAACCCATGAACCTGCTTGCAAACCTTGTAATCACCAAGCAATCCACTAGCATCCACAGCACTAGTCAAACTAAAATCCGTCAACTCCAGACCCTCCTCCACCATTCTAACAAACAACTCCATCGCCTCTAACCCTTCTCCGTTTCGACACAAGCCAGACAAAACTGCATTATACGACACCGAATTCTTGTCCGGCATTTCATCAAACACCTTCAATGCCAAATCCACCAACCCAAACTCCATATAAGCAGTGACCATCTCAGTCCAAGTGATAACATCCCTCACTCTCATCCCCTGAAACAAGGACTCCACCTCAGCAATACTTCCATACTTGGTGTAAAACCCTACAAGTCCATTCCCAACGTTCAAACAAGTTTCGAAGCCTAACTTAACAGCGTGCGCGTGAACTTGTTGACCCTCCACCAACGAAGCGGACGCGGAGAAAAGTATGGACAGCGTGAAATCATCAACGCTAAACGCATCCGTGGTTTGCATTTGACGGAATAAGCCAAACGCGGTGTCGTATAAGGAGTGGTGCAGCGCAGAGGATATAAGAGTGTTCCACGACGCAGTGTCCTTGTTTGGAGTTTGGTGGAATAACTTAAGCGCGACGCGGAAGGAGGCGTGGTTTGCGTAGAGAGCGATGAGGGAGTTTGCGACGAAGGGGGACTCAAAATGGGCCGTTTTGAGGGCCGCGGCGTGGAGCTGGCGGCCCAATTGGAAGTGGAAAGTTCGGGTGCAGGCGGTTAAAACGGCGACGTAGGTGTACTCGTTGGGGATGACGTGGGAGCGCGTCATGCGGAGGAAGAGGTGGAGCGCGTGGCGGGAGTGTGCGAGGGCGGAGATTAGGGTTGTGTAGGAGACGACGTTGGGGGAGGCGAGGGAGAGGAAGACGCGCAGCGCGTGGGGGAAGAGGCGGAGTTTGAGGTAGGAGGTGATGAGGGCGGTGGAGAGGTGGGTGTCTTGGGGGTGTTTGAGGAGGGTGGCGTGGACGCTCTTGGCCAGGAGGGTGGCGCCGGAGCGCGAGGAGACGTGGAGGGCGTGGAGGAGGGAGTGGTGGGTGGCGTGGCGGAGCCGGAGGGTGGTGGGTTTGTGGCGGAAAGGTGGCTTGGGGTGGGGAGGAGAGAGGAAAGGGTTTAAGGATCTGCAGTGGAGGCCACATTGCCATGTTTCCACTGCCACTCCCATATCCTCTCTTTCAAGTTTCAACTGTAATTTGCACACTTCTTCCTCTACATGACGCGCCAAATACACATCATTTTTTAATTATTCTTGTTTACTTTCCATAATTAATGGTTGAGGTCATTGTTTTCTCTGTCCTGTGATGAATTTTTATTAATGACAAATGAGACATGGTTCAGCTTACTTGTTAGGGTACTAGTAAATTAGTGATTATATAAATATTAAATGCTTGAGATGAATAGGGATAATTCTATTTTCATTGCTATATTATTATATAATATAAATATAAATATAAATTAGAATACACAATTTAGAGGTAAACGTCACACTTTTTTAATTACACAAATTCTATACTATAATTATTCTCTCATTTAAATACACATTTTATATAGTTAAACAAATTATCTATCCACCATCACAAACTAACACTTTTTTCTCATATATATATATATATATATAATATTTTTTCTTTTATCTTTTTAAATTAAATTTTAATAATTTTATAAAGAAATTATTCACAGTTAAAAAAATTATATTACAATTTAAAATATTTATGTAAAACATAAATATAATTTGTATATTCAAATAAGTGTATTTATAAGTTTTTTTTTTCTGTTTTTAAAATTGTTTATTTGTTATAATTTTTAATTATATAAAAAAAATATTTTGTATATTAAAGTATTGTTATATTACTCGTAATATTCCTTGTGTTGAAATAAAATTTACATTAGTTTTCTTTGATTTATATTAAATAATTAGAACTACTTTTGATGTGATAATTTATCTATTATTATCTGAATTAAAAGGATGTTACACTTAAAGATTATAAATTTTATTTCTTACTCATAAAAAATATTAAAAAATATAATATTATATTCTTTTTTATTAATATAATAATTTTTACTTTATTTATTTTTATCGATGGAAATTGAAAAACATAATGAATTACAATCCTAAAAAAAACTAAACTACATGCATATGCTAAAAGAGACTAAGAGTCTAAGATCAAATAGAAGATGTCTCAAGTAATTAAGTTGTTTGTTGATGGACAAATCAATCTAATATCGATTTCCCACACGATACACATGTCAAAAAGTTACATCTCATTGACAACCCTTAGAGAATATAATATAATTGATAACGGTGGTATAATGAAGAAAATGATTGAAACATTGTGAGTTTTAGGACTAGTAGTTGATGTTGTTTAATTATATGAGGTTGTTGATTGTTGTTTTGTGTTGAGAAACACTAAATCCATGACTTTCTTAAGAGTTATAAGGTAATTATTGGTTTTTATAGGTAAAGGTTAAGTTTGACTCTGAGGGGAAGGTAGTATATAAGATTTTTGTTAAAAATTAAGCTTCATAAATTTAGTTCTTTAGAAAATCAGAGAAATAAGTTTAGACTGAAGAGCTTTGGTCCTTGAGTTCTCTTCTTCTGTAACTATTCTCTTATAAGGTGATTCTTCCTCAAAAACCTCATTATAAGCATGTGTTTTCTGTTTATGTTGTTTAATTATATGAGGTTGTTGATTAATGTTGTATGTTTGTGTTGTCTGTTGATTTATTTTATTCTTCTTATTCTTCTTCCTTCTTCCCTTCTTCTTGGCCTAGAGATTTTTGAGGTAAAGGGAGCTAGAACTTGGTTTGTTATTGATTTCTGAAGTTGCGTGTTGCATGATTGTTGTGTAATATGCAGTTGTAATGGTATTCGAGATAAAAGACTTGAAGTTGTAGGTTTTGGGTTAAGGATGACAAAAATACCCGCACCTGCGGGTATCTGTGGGTAAAACCCGCTATGGATAATAAATGGATAAGTTAATTGGATACCTGCAGATAATGAGGACGAATAATTTTTTACTCGATTATAAACAAGGCGGGAGCAGGTATGATGATATTCATACCCGCAGATACCCATTTAATAATATTTTTTAAATATCCTAATTATCATTGTACCACATAACCCTTAAACTTCACTCTCTCATATTTGTGATATGAGACTTTCACTTACTTGTGAGATTGATGTATTTTAAGTTATTGATTATCTTGCATTTTTATTTATTTCAACAAAATTAATGTTAAATACAAGTTCAAAATTAACATTAAATTTTTATTTTTAATATTTCAATGACATTAAATATAAACTTAAAATTATTTGTAATATATTTTTTTTAATTTCTTAAAAAATTTATAAATATCCATGAATATCCATGGGTATTTAAGAAAATCATGGATACCCATTTAATGGATACCCGCACGAATATGGGGTGGGTGTGGGGCTAATTTTCATTCAGCAGGGCGAGGACGGATGTACTATTACCTGCCCTCATGAGGCCCCATTGTCATCCCTATTTTGGGTGTTTTCTTAAATATGTTGAAAGAACTTGATGATTTGAAATAAATTGTAGTTGCATGTTGTTTATGATGATAGAATGGAGATACTTGAGATGTATATATGTTATATTTTGTATTGAATGTGTGGAATCTTCTGAATTTTAGGTGGGTTGAGCAAAATCATGATTTTGTCAAGTGCAAACTTCACTATTGTGTTGAGTGCACCTTCATGGTGTCGAGTATGACTCACGTTGGAAGCTCTCTATCTCACTCACGCACGGGCATAAGATTGGTGGTGTCAAACGTGGGTTAGGGTTAGGGATAAGTCTTTGGCCTAGTCACACTAGGCGTATTTTGAATGAAATCGAGTGTGAGGAGAGAAAAACGTCTCTAACTTTGTGGCATTAGGCCCCTAGTTGAGTGGCGTCCAACGTGATTAAGCAAAAACTCTTTACTTAAACGACATCAAACACCAATATGGTGATGTAGGATATAAGACAAACAAAGACTTTTTGCCTGAAATGAGAATAGGCATGGGACTTTGCCACGCCAAGCATGAGGGCCTAAGGATCTTTACCTAATTCACATTAGGTGTGGGTTGGATAATAATGGGTACAAGTTACCTTAATTTAAAATGTTGTTTTATGATGGAGTTGGTAAACATGAATAAAGCACATTAACTTGTTACATGTTGTAGGTCAATAAATGTTTATTCTATATACATCGATCTAATATAATGTCTATAGATGATATCTAATTAAAAGTTGAGTTGAGTTGTATGTTAAACAATCAGGTATTTGTGTTGAATATGCTTGATGCATTATATTGTATGTTATTGACATTGATAATGTTTAAGACATGGTGTTGAAAATATGTTGATCAATTTAAGATAAGAGGAGATGTTATTTTAAAGTTGCATATCCTATTTTGAAGATATTGTATTGTAATGTTCCGAAAGCTTATTTTATTCAAAACTCTTATTAGATTTGTTGTTAATATTATAACGAATTAGTTTGTCAAAGTATATAAATTTAATTATTTTAATGTTATATACGATGCACCTTGAATATAAAATTTAAATTTATTTAAAGACACATTTTGATTATATTTAACAATTTAAGTTTATTTTGTAAACATTAATTTTATCGAGTTTTAAAACAAAGGAAGCTTGTCTCATAGGGGAAATTCATTATAACTATGTAAGCCTTGTAAGGTACACGCTACGAAGTAAAAGAGAAGGGACGGACAGATGGAGGCATGGGAAATTTGACCAATAATAATGACAATACTTTGTTTTCGATAAAATTAAAAAAATTTACTGGTCAACTTTTATGACGGAAAAACTTAAAACATACTTATTGTTTTTGCACACCGAAAATTAACTTGAAAATAAAGCAAAGAAAAAAAATTTGGGTGCTAGAGAGCGTAGAAAGGGGAAGCAAATGGAATTGAACCTCTTTTGGTGATTTCCATGGACGGAACTCGTAAACAGCAGGTAGGTACTCATTCACTCACTCACTCCTCTTACCTGCAATTCATCAATTATTCAAGTGACTCTGATTTTGATTCTGACAATGGAAGATTGTTGTTAACGTTTAGGTATCGTTGAGAGGAGCAAGTGCGAAGGAGATAACGCGAGACGCTCTTCTTCAAAAG